TAAAAGCCCCTTTCCAATTTAGCATTTGGGTGTTACATAAAGTCACTTTTCTCTATTTACTGTATCTCTTATGATTATCACTTTCTGAATGGATCTTTTATTCATTCATAGTTTCATAAACATTGTTCAGTAGTTTCTGTTTCTCCACAGCTAGACAGTCTTTTTTCCCCTTCAGTTAATAAACCAAATCTTTTTAAACTCTGAATGCAATGGGAAAAAACCCACTTCTGTTCTGCATAGCTCTTTCATAAATGCCATCCCAGTTTCTCCAGCTCCTACAAACTACCATAGAAAGATGGTAATAGATTCCTGAGTGTTTATTATGATCAGACCCTTATCAAATATGTTGATTACTGCGCTTGTTTTTCAGTTCCTGGGAAAACCACAAAAGGTAGGTCATCATTTGCCTTTCATCATAAGGATGAATAAAAAGAATGCAGAGACTTACCATGCCTGCCTGCCTGCCTTCCTTTCCTTGTTTTTTTCCTTCTTCCTTCTGTCTGTCTGTCAGTCTTTTCCTGGTGTTACTGTGAGTAGAAGAAATGCAGTGGAGGCATGCTAAACTACATCCCCATTGTTTTATTGCTATTAGCATTGTTTAGATCATTTTTGTTATCCTTAAATCACACTTCCTGATAACATCGATAATCCCTCCTAAATCTGGACAACCACTTAGCTATTCTCTATCTTCATAGGTTTTGTATTATGGGAACTTTTAAATTTTAAAATAGACCATGAACACAGCAACAATGAAGAACTTCACATATCCAAAGAAATGGAAATCCTGCAGAATTTTCTCTCATACTATATTAGCATGACACTAAAGACTGATACCAGGAATATACTTAGAATTTAGTACCTTTTTTTGTAATCTTGCTTTTTTCCCTATTCTTTCATATAAGGAAAATCATGTAGCATTGAAGTTTGTGTATCTAATTTACTTCACTAACATTATGTTCCCAAGATGTATCCATTTTTCTATAAATTCCTTATATTTATGTTTCTTTATGGCACAGAAGTTCCCATTGTTTATAAATATCACACATTCTTAATCCATTCATCCATCAATGGGCATGAAATAGGCTATTTACAAGATTTAGTTATTATGAATTTACTAGTGTAGACATGGATATACATACATCACTGCAGTATGATTTTAAATCTTTTGCGAAGTTACTTAAAAGGGAAATGACTTAATCAAAAATAATCTCTATGTTTAGTTTTTTTTGAGTAATCTGAATACTGATTTCCATAGTGATTGCATCAGTTTACATACCTATCAACAATGAAAAAAATGTTTCATTTTCCCCTCAACTTCACCAGCACTTGTTATTGGTTGATTTCTTGATCATAGACATTCTTTCCAGGGTAATATTGCCAGTTTTATTACTGAGACAGGTTCTTGGTAAGCCATGCAGTTGCCTACCTGGGTTCACACTTGTGCTTCTGCTTCTAATGCTTTAAAGAATACTGGGCTCATAGGCATTTGCCACCACTCTGTCTTACAGAACATGTCTGAAGACTGTGCATGCAATAATAAATAATAAAGAGGGCATTAATTTGTTCATAATTAGTTATTATTGTCCCTTTTCATTTTTATCTACACTTAACGATCATTTGTTCCTTAAGTATGTGGGTGGCTGCCTTTGGGTACCTTTATGTTGGATGCAAGAGTTGACAGGGTTATGGTACACAGTAGATTCCTACAATTTCAGGGAAAACAATGAACATATTTTCAGTATGAACTATGGTGCCAAAGTTTATTGAACTGCAAAAGGAGAAAACACAAGCTCATAGTGCTATGGAACTTTTGATCTACTTTAATTACTGATCTATATGAAGGATTTAAAATGCATGTGACAGCTATGTTATTCATGAAAACCTTTGTTTAAAATTTTCATTTTTAATGTGTCAATTTTTCTACTCTGAATCTTTTTGCTTGTTTGTTTTCATGATTTTCTTAAATTCCCAAAAAAGCTATTTTTCCCAACATAGTCCCATTGATATAGTTTTAGTAACTCCTATCTGAAATCATCAGGAAATACTGTTTTTCTTTTTTCTTTTTGGCTATTTCAAAAAAGAAAAAAAATACTTAATATCAGTATGAATAACACATGTGCTCATTGCAGCATAATGTTGGTGCAATCTGTGCTTGATACAGTTATAAATAAGTCTTTGAAAGCGTTTTTCTGTATTTTAAATAAAGGCTATAGAAAGCCACAAGAAGGATCTAGTCTTGTTAATATCACAAGCTGTTTCCCCACCTGCACTCCGAGCAGCTTTAGTGATGCAGCTGTCTGGGTTCGTGTTGGCATATCACTGTCTGCATAGGAACCCCATGGTTTACACAGAAAATGAATAGGCCACGGTTCCAATGGGGGTCTTTAATAATCCTTCCTCTAATGCTGCCATGTGTGGGCATCAGGCTTTGAAGGGGCGTGAAGTATGAAGTTTCAGGAGGATTATTTAAAGCCACTCAATTTTGAAAGGTAGAAAAGAGCATTACAAAAGCTGAAGAGTTCCTTTGCATTTCTCCTGCATGTTGATCAAGTAATGGTTCATGTACAGCATGGGATAGAAAGTAAAGAATGGATATAATTATATGATTCACTTCATGTGGTCTCCTTTAACATGAACAAACAAAGCTCAGCCTTAGTGTTTCACTGATATCATTTACCAAATGTTAGCTGTGAAAATATGAACCTAATGGGAACAAATATCTGTCTAGCAGTACCTAGAAAGATTAAATTCAGAATGGAAGAAATTTGTACAGTGCACTTGCCTGTGTATAATTGGACAGCTACTGGACTTTTAGAAATAAAATAATCTTATCTTATACATACCATCCATTACCATCCACTGTCAATCAGGCATGGCCTTTTAAAACATGTGAATACTCAACACAAAATGCTTTGCTGAAACTGGGGAATATATGTGAATATGTCCTGCTGCGTCTATGACACTTTCAGGGTCCTAGAACCCTGTGCTGTGGTTATAATGAACACTTTTGTTTGTCCATGATATAGTGCAGAAGAAGTGATAGAATTTGTCACTGTGTGTAGCTGTGGAGTGAGAATGTTAGTGTCTCATCAGGATTTTGCTGCTCTGGATTTGCATTTAAATTCATATATCTGTAAGTACTGGGAACTCTCAGTACCAACTTGATAAAGTTTATCTGCAGAAAGATAAGCAAAAGTCTGTATTCTCAGACCCTATGCACGTCATGTGTGTTATACACTGCTGAATTGAAGACAGTGATATGGGACTGAGACCTAAGGTCTCTCATTTCAGTAGGGATGAGAGAAGTTAAACAGATGCATCACAGACGTATGTAAACTTCCTGTGGGAGAAAGCAGTTAACTCTCAGGAGGTAAACCAGAAGCGTTCTGAGAAAGCAACATCTCAGAACATGGCAAAGAACAAACAGCTCGAATTTTTCTAAGTGGATTAAAAGGCAGATAGATGCAAGACTGTGTGCAAAACATAGTATCAGACTATATGCATTGGAATGAGAGCACAAAGTAAATCGAGGAAGCATAAAGCACCCAACAGATGAGTCTGAAAAGAACACAAAAATGCCCTCATGGAAGACACTCTGCCTTCAGAGTCTTAGAATGATAAATCAGCCAAAGTTTGGCATATTTATACTTGTTGCTTTTTGAATTGCTGCTGGTGCGGGACAGTGTAGATAGCAAAGCCCTGACGAAGGAAAGCCGGTTTGAAGGATTGTGCTTGTGCCATTCAAGATAATGAGGTAAATGGTACATATTGTGTAATGAGAGAAGGAAACAAGGTATACCGGAGCAGGCTCATCAGGGCTTACTGGAGTGAACCGAATGTGCATAACATTTAGGTCTCTGCATGGCAAACACTGTTCAAATTCCTTTCTCACAAGGTTCACAGAATTCTACTCCTTCAGTTACAACAGAGAATGTTGACTTCTCTGTCCACTGTTCTGAATATGTCTAAACCCTAAACATCGTCCTGATTTTATGCAACAGAGCATAGACAGTCTGCTGCCTTGTAGGACAGAATAACCAATGGCTGGTGCCAGCAGAGCTTGACAGGTATCTTGTGCCTGTCATTGTTTTACGACAGAGGTTTAAGCCACAGACTAAAGATGATGGTAGCTACCACTTCCCTCCTTAAAGCTAAAACAGCGTGCATGTACTTTGCCCTAATATTGTCAAGAAGCAAAATTCCTTTCCCAGAAAACTTCTCTAATTGGATTCGGTGGACCTTGACTGACTTGTCACAGCTACAGTGAGGGTGCAGGTAAAAATGTGAGGCGTCTGTCTGTGAATAAAAGAGAAAATATCTCGGATGAAGGCATTTAAGAGAATATGTTTTATGAAACCATTTTCCTGTTACTTTTCTATGATCTAATTTTATTATTTTTGACAAATAACTAGGAAAATAAGTGAGGAATAATTTATATCATAATGAACTATGTTGAGAGAATGTGAAAATTATGATAAGTGAACTTTATTATTACCTTGACTGAAATAACTGACATCTGGAGAGTGGGTTGGATCATGGGACACTACGCTCAGCAGTGCACTATTCACTAATATTTATAGTTGAATATGCTGTTAGGAGATGGGGACCAGTAGGATAGAGGTCACTGATGGCATGCATTTGGAGGCACAAGGCTTGCTGGTATTTTTCCTTGTGTTGTGTCTTGACTGCCATGAAATAAACAGCTTTCTCCTGCTGGGCCTCTCAAACATGAGGTTTCTTCCTTGAAATCAGATCACCATGAATTCAACCCTCAGGAAACATAAGCTTAAAAAGAATCTCTTCACTTTTAAATTGTGTAGTTTTTTTTTCATTGGTATTGGGGATTGAACTCACAAAGGTGCATTTGCAAGCAGGTGCTTATGCCGTTGAGCTAAATCCTCAGCCCCTAAATTGTGTATTTTGTGTGAGGCATTAAAAGTTGACAATTTAACATTATTTACCATTTATTCTTTAATTTTCAATTTCATATCTTCTAACAGGTAGGAAGTTGCTGTGGAAGCCATTCTAGGTCTTCAGTAATCAGCTGATCCGGAGGGGAATCAGAAGATATTTGTCAGGTGAGTGTTTCCGCATTTTGTACTTGGTCTACTTACCACATATTCCATAATGACATTGTAAGGAAAAATGGAATACAGTTTATTGCTTTATTATGAAATTTGAGCATTATGAAAAGCCATCATCTAAAATAATTATTGTTATATTTTTCTTTAAAAATGATAAAAATGTTGAGTCAAACTTCTTGGCCAAATTTTCATAATTCATATTTAGTAGTAGAGGTATGGTCATTTCTGATTGTAATTTATACAATATCTACCTGCAAGCAAATATATACATATTTAAGGAATTTAAGCAGAGGTTTACTAAGAAATAATGAAAACCATCATTAAAAGTCTTTATCTGTCTAGACTACCAGATAGAAAGTGTGCTGTATTTTACAACCGTCGATATGTTAAATCATTTAAATGCCTATCATGTTCCAGGTAACAGAACGAGGATGCTCACAGTGTGCAACTAGAATTTTGGTTCTAAGTCTCAGTTAAGGAAGTGGCTATTGCATACTTGCCCACTTCCTAGGTAACACAATGGTGCTTTAATAAATAACTGTATAGTTTACTCCTTTGTTCTTTTATTTGGAAGAAAAATTAATGTGGCGATGGGAAAGCTGGAGGTGAGATTTAAAGAGTGACAGTGCCTGGCAAGAAACCTATCTCCTTTGCAGAGAAAGCAAACAGTTTGGGAGGCAATTTTGTTAGAAGATGAGCCAATCAGAGTGGATTGTACTAAATGAAGAGGCTAAACGTAAAGGCACCCTTGACTTCTTGGTTTCATATTAAAAAATTCTGCTGTTCACCTTTCGTGACCCTGGTTCTCTAACAAGCAAGATGACATTAAGTCTTCATTTCTTAGAAATTTTAATACTGGGAAAGTGTATAAAGTATGTCACCCAGAAACATAAGAGGCACTTCTCAGCATATTACATCCTGTCCAGTTTTGGTCTAGATATAATTCTACTATTTTTTAATGAGTTGTTAGATTTTCACTTTCCAACCAAGATACTTGAATTTTGAGGTACCAAATAGCAATGGGACTGAGGAAGCAACCAAGAATTTTCAAATAGATCATCTTCTGAAAGAATATTATCACTGGCCGTAAATTTCTTGTGTGTTGAAAGCGTAAGACAAGGGACCAGGGTTTTGTAAGACTCACACGCCCACAAGTCAGAGCATGTTTATGAATTTTCTTGTGGTTTTTCTCCTGACTGGAAGACTCTGATTCACAAGTGAATTATGATAGTAACACACAAAAGAATCTCAGTGTGTGATTTGACTAAGTACTGCTCTTTTGAAAGGGGCTAGATTTCCTGAGCAAGTACTAAAATTCTGCATTGATAAGAAAACTTTTGACTTACTAAATTGAAACTCATAAGGAATCTCTTTCAGCTAATCCCCTTCCAGTTCCATCACAGGGGTAGTCAGGGAGAGGGAACTGTTCCATTTCTCTCCAGCTCTGAAATTCTTCCAATTTTTTTTCCCTGTAATTTCTGATTAATGGCAAACTTGATTTAGATTTATATGATCCTATTATTCATTACAAGGGGAAAAAGAAGTCACATTTTTTTTTTCAATTTAATTTTAAAAATTAGGGCTAGCAGTGATGGAATTTAAAATCAAATTATCCCGTCAGAGTGACAGATAAATCTCAAGAGTTTCTAATGAGATTTTCCACTGTCAGGGTGCTGAAAAGCTCCCTTTCCCAGACTGCTCTAGTTCAGGTTTTGACAGTGAGTGACAGTGAGCATCTGTGTTTTGAAATAGGGTGCTATTTGAGGCATTTTGGTTCTTATTTAGAAAGTAAGGGATGGCTTGCTTCCCAGTTCCTTCTAGGTTAAATGGTAAAAGGTGTTTCCATGAGTGTCCTGACCTCAGGGTCTTGCACGATGGAGAGTTGTAGGTGATTATCATGTATCTCTCTTTGGTTAAGCATGTGAGTTACATCAGTTCTCCCATTAGCTTTACATGGTACTATTCTTAAAGTGATCTTTCCTGTAGAGCTGTTGTAAATATGACACAGTCATCATGGCATGCTTCTTTTTTTACTTTTTCCCATTATCATAAATAGAATTTGAAATGTGAAGTGGTTTAACAGTACTGAGTAGACCTCTGTTGTTTTGCATTCAGTTCATCATTTTAATTTCCATGATCACGAATTGACAATTCTCTATCTTTCATAGAGAAAAAGAAATAGTTATTTGCTTGTCTCAAAGTGTGTAACTGATGCTGGTCCTTAAGTAAAATAATGGATGTGCACTTCATTCCTCTGCGAAAGAATATGTTTAAGATAAGCCAGCATTGCTTTCAATGACACAGCCTAAGTAACACAATTGCCACAGGATAGTTTGAAATTTCTGGCAGAACCGAAGGCAATGCAGAAGGAAATTACTACTTATAACAAGACCTTCCATGTAAAAAATTGTGTTGGAGCAGGAAGCATTGCCATATGAGGTGGATTTGGGTCTCTGTTAAGAATCAGGATGTATCTTGAAGCTTCAGTTTCTGCATATGCATAAGGATTTTCATCTTTTTACTTTGCCTTTTCATTCCTTTTTAAAAATTATTAGCCTAAAGCTAATCAAAAGCTACAGCTGTAATGCAGAAGTTTGCTTCTTATTATAGTTCTACTTTTGCATTTTGCTGCATCCCTAAAACAAGATATTAACCAGGAAGTGCCCCCTGAGAAGTCTGCTTTGGTTACTCAATTATTATTCCGAAATGAGAAGTGGTGAGAATATTAGGTAATAATTCAAAGAACAGAGGATACTCAGAAGAAAATGTGGCAAAGCACCTAAGTGTAGGCCCTGAAGAGCTGCACACACTGTACATTAGTTAAGAGTCTTAATAAAAGAACAGAAGGAAGGGAAAATAACACAAAATGAAGAATGAATTACTTAAGATTAAATAGTTTCTATTACAGAAATAGACTACACGTAGAGCTAATGGCAGGCATTTTCTACAGACAGATGGAATGTTCTCCTCTCCCAATAGTATTGATATGAAGTCTCTGTTAAGATTCATTTTTCCTGAAACATTTGCATATAAATATAAACATCATTACTAGGGGCTAATTGCCCTGTAGGAACTAAAATGTGGGAATTAGCATCTTCAGTCGTTTTTATTATTATTTTTTAAAGTATCTCTAACACGCATCATATTTGGTACTGCATGGCTGCAACAGATAATTACCACCATTAAGAATCTCAAACGCAAAATCAAAACCATTTGGAATGGCTTCCAGGGCAACCCAGCACAGTGAGTAGCCACCAAAATGAGTATGGAAGGTTTATGTTCATGCATATTCATAAGCGTACTTAATTCGACATTCATAGTAGGGGGCTTTTGAAAGCTTGTCAAAAGAGCAGCCCCCAAACTAGACCAAACATCAAAGGTAGGTAGATGCAGTACATCTCACTCCCACACACACACACAAATATTGCTTGCAGGACGCAATGAATAAGACTAAAGGAATTATTTATTTTAACTACTCAGAAAAAAAAATGCCAATTTCTATGAAGATGTAAACCGCAGTCCTTTGCCTTTTTCATTCATCTTACTGATCAGAAAGATCAGTAGTATGAGTTATTCACAGGATGGATCATAGGCTGCAATTCTGAAGAAATGGACATGTAGATTGGTATTATTAATTCCCCTTGATTGTGCAAAATGTAACCAGAGGTTTGAAGGCTTGTCTTAAGCACACGAAAAGGCAGCGTGTGTGAGAAACAGAACCAGGGCTGAGATGCCTGCCTTCTGAAACACTGCCCATTTTGTGGGTAGGTCTGTGTGTTCTGCACACAGGTGCTGCCTCATTTTGGTGTTGGGTTCTGAGGCTAGCTTGCTGACACCTAGACTTTTCAAACCATTCCCATGACATTCAGCAAATGTGTGTTCTCGTGGAACAAATCCGTTAAATTATAGATTAGAAACAGTACAAAGAAACCTTTACAAATGTTTCAGTTTCAGTTTCGCACAAAGCAAATAGCTTTATATTTAAATGTGGCACCCCTTGTTAGAATAAAACATCTGCCTAGCAGCGCGCTATGCTGGATTGTCTGTCAAACTCCTCCTGCTTTTGAGGCATGGATGCCTGAAGTTCTGACAGACCGAACTGAAGATGCCATCCCGTCCCTTGCTCTCTGATGCCCACCTCTGAATGTCTCCTGCTTTCTTGCTGCTCTGTCCCTCCTGTTTCCTCTCCCTAGTTTCTTTTCTCATGCCCTTCACTCTCCAGTATTCCTGGCAGTGGGACAACGATAGTTTCCTATTAGTAAGTACCTGGTTCTGTTGCTTCTCCCTTTCTACTTTCAAATCATCACTACTTTGAGAAAATATGACAGTGTCATTTTAAAAGAATCCTCGAGATGACTCTGAAGACATCAGTAGACTTACGTACTCCAAGTTACTTGATTATGAATAATCATGCCCATAAGTAAAACATACCATTTATTCAAGTTAAAGAATCAATACTTAATTTACTGTTCCTTTTGTTGAAGAAAGTTTTATTTTGGGGGCCACATATCATTTTATGTTGACAACAATTATTATTTAGAAAATTCACAAAAGTAAGTTTCTTTCAATCATCCTTAGTGATGATGAAATCAATAAAGGACTCAGTTGAGAATATCCCAAAAGACCAAATTATTTAAATTGCTAGTTTTCTCCAAACCACCCTGTCAAAGCATACCAACATAGAATAAAAGAGAAATGTAACTCAGCTGATGTCAGGCATATTCTAAAGTTTACTTCAAAATACATTTTTAAAATGCTGAGTTATAAATATTAAAACATCAGAAAGTCATAATTTATAAACTATGGTATATAAAAGAATACTTAAACAAGTAGAAAAATTATAAAATAATAATCTATATGTGTGTGCAGACCTGTGAAATGAATGTGTGTAGAATAAAACACAAAACACTTACGAAACAAAACAGAGCTGAAAATATGGGTTGCCTTTTAAAAGGGCAATCATTTAGATGATCATTTACAACATTTACCAAAAT